GTGAGGGTGATGTTGACGCTGTCGTTGAGAGCCAGGGAGGTGAGGGTGATGTTGACGCTGTCGCTGAGGGTTAGGGAGGTGAGGGTGATGTTGACGCTGTCGTTAAGAGCCAGGGAGGTGAGGGTGATGTTGACGCTGTCGTTTATAGCCAGGGAGGTGAGGGTGATGTTGACGCTGTCGTTGAGAGCCAGGGAGGTGAGGGTGGTGTTGACGCTGTCGTTGAGAGCCAGGGAGGTGAGGGTGATGTTGACGCTGTCGTTGAGAGCCAGGGAGGTGAGGGTGATGTTGACGCTGTCGTTGAGAGCCAGGGAGGTGAGGGTGGTGTTGACGCTGTCCCTGGGAGCCAGTGAGGTGAGGGTGATGTTGACGCTGTCGTTGAGAGCCAGGGAGGTGAGGGTGATGTTGACGCTGTCGTTGAGAGTCGGGGAGGTGAGGGTGATGTTGACGCTGTCGTTGAGAGCCAGGGAGGTGAGGGTGATGTTGACGCTGTCGTTGAGAGCCAGGGAGGTGAGGGTGATGTTGACGCTGTCGTTGAGAGCCAGGGAGGTGAGGGTGATGTTGACGCTGTCGCTGAGGGTTAGGGAGGTGAGGGTGATGTTGACGCTGTCGTTAAGAGCCAGGGAGGTGAGGGTGATGTTGACGCTGTCGCTGAGAGCCAGGGAGGTGAGGGTGATGTTGACGCTGTCGTTGAGAGCCAGGGAGGTGAGGGTGATGTTGACGCTGTCGCTGAGAGCCAGGGAGGTGAGGGTGATGTTGACGCTGTCGTTGAGAGCCAGGGAGGTGAGGGTGATGTTGACGCTGTCGTTGAGAGCCAGGGAGGTGAGGGTGATGTTGACGCTGTCGCTGTCGTTGAGAGCCAGGGAGGTGAGGGTGATGTTGACGCTGTCGTTGAGAGCCAGGGAGGTGAGGGTGATGTTGACGCTGTCGTTGAGAGCCAGGGAGGTGAGGGTGGTGTTGACGCTGTCGTTGTAGCCCTATCGGTAGAAGACGAGGATGTTGATCACGTTACCGCAGATTCCGAGGATCCCGATGGTGCCGCAGACAACCATGTTGAACACCTGGAAGTAATCGAGGACGCGAGGGTCGAGGTAAAGTACAGATGTGTCCATTTGTACAGCAGTCAAATCGGGTAACGACACATTGACAAGATTATTCATCATTTTAATTGCAATTCAGCTTTATGAAATTTGTTTTTTTTTTTTAGAAATAAAACATGTGTTTTGACCTTTTTATTGAGTTAGCCACCGTGCTTTTACATTGAGAAATGCTGCCATGCTGAGCTGAATTGTTATATCTGTTTACCGAAATGACAAAGTAACTTCATTTGTTTTTCGAAATCCAAATATTCAGGTTATAAGCTAAAATATACCAGTTCACTTTTGATGCAGAAGTCCAAAAATCACATACTCTTATTAATCTTTTTATTAATCTAATAAGTAACACAAACTAAAAGACGGTCACAGTTAAGAATTAGGTGCGAATAAGTACTTTAAACTCTGTTTGGCACTTGGAATCGTAGTTTTCACCCAGTTGTGAATTTTAAAGTTTTACTGGACTAAATGAAAATACAATTAAAGTAATGAAAATATCTCTATTTTTTAACAATTCAAACAATGTGTATATGTGTATGTATGAATCCTATGACAATAGGTGGAATTGGGTGTTTACTTTAAATTAAGTAATTAAGTACTTGCATTATTTAAAAATATGGAATAAAATATACGACCCGCGGCGTATCATACCCTCCTTTCCCCCAACCTCAACCCCCCCCCCCCCCAAACCCGTGAAAGCAGCTTCCTCTTAGTTACCTCCCCTAAGTTTAAAATCGTTTCAAATTAAATTATCTGCCCCTAATAACCGTCTCAAAACCCTGCTCTACGATTGTAAACATTTAGCGTGATCCACAGCTCACCTGACCATGTGGGGGTGGGGGTGGTAGGGATATGCATAGAGAGGAAGAGAGTGGGCTGCTAGGCGCGCTTACAGCTTGGTGTTTTTATGGTCTTCATGAAGAGAATCTATATATATATAATTCTCTTCTGGGAGACGCTAGAAAACAAGCTGTAAGCGCGCTCCCTACCTCCCCACCCCTACATGGTCTGGATAATTAAGTTTGAAACGATTTTAAACTATGGGGAGGTAACTAAGAGGAGGCTGCTTTCACGAGGGGGGGGTGTAGGGTAGGGGTTGGGGGAAAGGAGGGTGGGGGTAGTATCGTCCATAACGACCTACTGATAGTTTTTTAAAGCAAATATTTTCAGTGGCAGCATTGGTACTGTCGAATTCACAAATTATGAATTACTGAAAAGTAGAAAATAAAACAACTAAATAGCGGCGTATGATATGCCGCGGGTCGGCTCGTTATATATAGATAGATGACTTTACCCTATGGGAATGTCTACGCGCTAGACCTGATATACTAGTGACTATGTATAGTACTTTGTATATTATTTAATGTGCTGCACATTATATACTTATGATTGTGTATTCTAACTTAAATGTCAATGACTAAGTAGCACGGAGCAAGTGTGGTGATGTCATGTGTAAGACAAGTGTGTACGTGTTACCGATCACTTCGTGTGTGTACACATTAGTATTGTGGAGGGGGGGGTGGAAGCAAGCGTTGTAAATGATATAGCAATATAAATAGAAAGTGATATTTCTACGTAAAGGGTAGACAAGGTACAGAATATAGTACAAGTAAAGACAAAACAGTCAGAACCCAACGGGATCCGAACCTACCATTCCACGCGGCACCAAATCGCCTCGCCTTCCATGCATCAAGTCAGACGTGTAAACACTACTGGCAATCAGCTCTAGCGCGAAGCTGGGTGTGTTAACGTGTGTGTTACTGTAGGGAGTGAACGAGGGTAACATTGGAATCGACTGGTTGAGTGATAGCGGGTCTGTTGACGTGTACGTTACTGTACGGAGTGAACGAGGGTAACAAGGGAAGCGAGTAAAAGCGCTATGTTGTGGGGTAGAAGTAGGAGGTGTGTAGCGATGAATGTTGAAGACGTAGATCACGGTTGGATCTGAGAGGTTGTGATGATAGATGCTTTAAATCTTTTTGTACATTAACCTCACCGATTTATGTGTGGCGTGTCCTTATACCTGCATTGTACGAGGTTCCTTAGTCTCACGGCAAAGTTTAAAAAAATAAAAATATGGACAATTTCGGGAGCCATGTATTAGAGAAAAATGTTTCCGACACGGTGGGCGGACATTATTGTGACATTTAGCTGCTGACATGACAAGTGTAGTCGCTACACTGACCGGTGGTCAGTGATGTTAGGTGGGGGATGATTTATTAGTTTACAGCTTTAGGCTGATAAAAGGACTAACAAAATCGGCATGGTTAGAGGATAAATACTGGCCGGAATAAGGTTTAGTTTCTCTTACTCATTGTGTCCTATAAATTAATAACAATCTTATATGTTTTAATATTAATTACCATGGGCTGATCATTATATATTAATGTCTATGTCATGTACATTGTGTAAACAGGACTTTGTTTCATTGCATCTACCGGACCCTATATTCTTGGATTTACCGGACCCTGTTTTATTGCATCTACCGGACCCTATATTCTTGGATTTACCGGACCCTGTTTTATTGCATCTACCGGACCCTATATTCTTGGATTTACCGGACCCTGTTTTATTGCATCTACCGGACCCTATATTCTTGGATTTACCGGACCCTGTTTTATTGCATCTATTGTCTTGTGAATGTACTCGAAACGTACACAATAAACACCTCTGGACACTCGATGTAGACCTATGTGTGAGGGTGTAATACAACTATGGACTTTACCTCAATGACTGATTACAATAAATTATATTCGACCCGCCAGTTTTAATGTTAAATAGCAAATAGTTCCCTGACATCATGTTAAAGTACAAAACTCACACTAAACTAGAACTTGATCGCAGTTTCTAAACGTAACAAAGTAAAAGTAATCCAGAATCCCCACGAAAAATAATCTCCCACAGCATTGAAAATTATATCCATTTCCACCCATCTGATTATAGATTTGTTAATTTTCGTTTCTCTACAAAATTGCTATATATTTATTTCTCGGACGGTAAATGAAAATAAACAACGGTTACTGACGAAATCAATAAGAAAATTGGCAATTTAATACAGGTATTTGTGAAATTAGATCAGTGTTGCTTCCTTTTAAACTATTGTACCTAGTTTATCTTTTTGTAAACTTTTATATTTCAACCGACGTTTTTCAAATGAAAACGTAAGTCTGCGAATATAGATTGAGATTTAATTAATCAAGTTAATTATCATAACCCCGAGCAGAAATTGTGTTTTTTTTATTGATCTGCGAATCGATACTATTTTAGTGTGTAGAGAAAGCATTACCAAGAAATTAGTGAAAAATTAGAATTCATCAAAATATTATAGTAAAAGTCGATAGAATTGTTTGAAAATGAATTGCAACGTCGCGTATTTAATATTCTGTGCCACTACCTATAAAAGTTATCGTTGAAAGTCAAACCGGTGATTTTTAATCGAAATTATTGTAATGAAATCAAGTGCAAATTTTTTCAAGGAAATATAAATTATATTGTTTGGTTTTCAAATTAAAAAAAAAGTTTTTACATTTTAGGCGTAAAATGAAATAAAAATGTTCTGTTAACACTAATTGTGTCGTATTTTATATATTGCATATATTTTGTGCGTTTCGAACTTTTCCTTTTCGAAATTAGCGGTACATCAAACTAAAATTAATATTAACCAAAAGTAGGCACACTTGAAATATTTGTAACTATTTTTTTTATCTCCCTTTAAAGATTTGTTTGTATTACGGGTAAGTAAACCTGAAGCATTTGAAACTACTTTGTTTTTATAACTACACAGATTTTTTTTTACTTAAGAAAAGTCACCAGGTTTAATGGCAAGTATTTTTGTTTCAGTCTTTCAATTTATCAATTCTCATTCATTTATCTCGACATAAAATAAAAAAAAAGGTCAGACAATAAGGCGCGTTGATCAGCTTTTAATGATCTTAAAACATAGAAGGGATACAATTAGGTAACATTTCTTTTGATTTTCAAACATTAGTAAAGAAATGCCACAGATGCGAAGACAGCTGTAATGTTTAATCTTTAAAGTTCAAAGTCGACGTAGTTTCATTTCGACGTATTCCAGAGAATCGGTATGTTGTGTTATACCTGCCCAGATAATTCCTTCAGCATGGACTTTACTTGCCCACAAGCCGTTCATGTTCACAGTAAAACAACCTTTAAACCACCAGCCGCTCCTCCACGTCCTGGCGCAAGTGTATGTGTCTCTATCAAAAGTGGCAAAAGCCATTTCATTGTGATTACTAAAGCTATCTGTAGCATTGCCTGTCTTGTATGTAAACTTTATCCTATACAAATCTGCTTCATTTCCCACCGTCACATTACTGTACACGGCGTAGTAGGATTTACTTTTATATTTCATGTCAAACCTCAGTTCATTGTAGCCCTGTAAAAAGTTCATTGAGTATTTTTATTACAAAATCTTAACGAGTATAAACTTGAACATTATGTCATTATGGTTTACTATTACAATAATATAGAGTAATATTATATTTTAAAATAATTATATATTTTCTGGCTCATTCTAGGTTAGACCTTGTATACTAAATATAAGAAAAAATGTTTATTATACTTCTGGTTCATTCTAAGATAGACCAAGTGGCGTCGCGAAGTCAGGTGTCACCCTGTTCGACACATCTGGTGTCTCACCACCCCCCCCCCCCCAGTACCCGCAACACAAAGTATATATAAAAAGTATATATATATATATATATATATATATATATATATATATATATATATATATATATATATATATATATATATATATATATATATATATGTAATGTAATGTAATGTAATGTAATGTAATGTAATGTAATGTAAATGTAATGTAATGTAATGTAATGTAATGTAATGTAATGTAATGTAATGTAATGTAATGTAATGTAATGTAATGTAATGTAATGTAATGTAATGTAAGTAATGTGATGTGATGTGATGTGATGTGATGTGATGTGGTGTGGTGTGGTGTGGTGTGGTGTGGTGTGGTGTGGTGTGGGGTGGTGTGGTGTGATGTGATGTGATGTGATGTGATGTGATTTGGTGTGATGTGATGTGATGTGGTGTGGTGTGGTGTAGTGTGGTGTTGTGTGGTGTGGTATGATGAGATGTGATGTGATGTGATGTGATGTGGTGTGGTGTGGTGTGATGTGATGTGATGTGATGTGATATTATGTGATGTAATGTGATGTGATGTAATGTAATGTAATGTAATGTAATGTAATGTAATGTAATGTAATGTAATGTAATGTAATGTAATGTAATGTAATGTAATGTAATGTAATGTAATATAAATATTTTGGGACTATGCGAGAGTGTGTGTATGTATTGTCGAGATGGTCAATAAGACTTTAAAACAAATTATCCATTAACTAAACAGGCAAAAAGCAGTAATTTAAGTAGTAATTTACTCTATTTTCGATTTCTCAAAAAAAGCATGTGAATTTATAAAGTGCTAATAATATTCCGTACTATTATATACATATTGTTTTTCGTTCACTTGGTGCGCAATTCTTTTTTCTACGAGATTCTATTCTATTTTAAAATGTTTAAGTAATTAAAAATAGATTAAAAATCATGTCTATAACCCGAGTTACCATCCTCCGTAGTGTTTTATGAGAAGATTCGTGAAAGTTTAGGGGAGATCACTTCAGGTTTATTTTCAGTACTTTAAACTTTTTATTTACTATAGAAGTGCATGACTTAAAACTATTGCGTATAATAGAGCGGAAAGAGTAGTACAAGACTGCCGACTAATTTCAGATAATTCTAATTAATTCATAAAACATTAATTAGTCATCCAATTAAGTCAAATTTGATGTCAGATTGCATTGTCTTCACGTCGGAAATAGCATAAAGTAATACTTCCGGTCATCGGAGATTACTCAAAATTGTACAAAAACCAAAATAATAAGATCTTATAACTATGTATGACATTCGGTCTATTACCTGAAACGGTACTCAAGTTATCGGTACTTTAGAAACCAGTAATAAAGTAAAGTGCCACTACCGGAAATTGGAGGTTAATAAAAGATTGTAAGTAATCAAAGTGTAAGATCTTTTATTATACATCAAATTTCGATTATCTAAATTAAAGAGCACTCAAGTTATCGTGTTGCCGCTTTCGGTTAACCGAAATATTTCGAAATTTGAAAGATACCCGCGCATACAAAATAATACTTGTATGTGAAATTTCGTGCCCCTAACGAAAAGGGTACTTAGGTTATTGGCTTTTGATAAACCGGTTGTAGAGTACCGTAGAGTTACCGAAAATCGCAGATAACTACAAATTTGATATAATACTTATATATGAAATATCTCCAAAAAAACTGACTGTTTACAAATAGACAGGCATACAGACAAAATTGCCTAACTAAATTTTTCTGACTTAGAGAGGTGTAAAACGTCGAGATTTTTGAAAATCTCGACTTAACGGTGAAACAATTACAAAGCATAGGAAAAATTACTGTAATTATAGTTTTACATATTATATCGAGAAACATTTAACGTACGTTTTGAGTAAGGTATGAGATCCAGTCATTTCCCAGCCAATAATCTCCTGCCAAAGATCCAAAACCATTTTTGTAGTCGTCCCAGTTTCTGGTGAAGTTTTCGTCCCCTTTAACACGTCTCTGAAAAAGCAACGTATGCGCAGAGATTTTATCAACATAATTCATATACGGATCATATAACACATGAGGAGAACTGTAATGTGATCGGCACTTTTGAAGATGAATCAGGTTTCATTTGTTTCTGTCACATTATGAAGTAAGTTACCCTTGCAGACCCTTGCATGTCGGTCGATATGCAGATGAATCAGGGTTCATTTGTTTCTGTCACATTGGCATATGAAGGGATAATATGGCCAGTTCTTCTATGCCGAGTCGCCTTTACTTTCCCTAACGTGAGTCACAGCTGGGTGGACTTAAAGCACATTAATACAATTTTAATTAAAGAGTGTATTAAAGTAGTATAGAAACAATGTAATTACACTTACAATAAACTTCTAAAGAGGTTTCCTGAGGTTACAAAATGGCATTGTGACTTTGTTAATTTTTAAAGACTTCTTTAAGGGGGAAGGCTCGGGTAAAAAACAAAATTTTTAATATTCTTTAGAAAACAGTTATTTCTTTACAGTTTTATTAACGTTCATCGCATATGCATTTCCACTTTAAAAAACTACGTGGAAAAATCTTGGTAACTATTACAACGGCGGCCATCTTGAAAAATTAACCCCTTCTTAGGTTTTCCACCATTTATAAAATATTATATTTTTAGCCCAACAAACAATCAATTCATAATCTTCTTCCATATTTTGGGAAACTCAGCTTAAAAATTTTAGTGCATATCTTCAAACTAATTTTTTATGAATTTTCAAATTGTGGGTCCATTAAAAACAAAAGTTTTAATGCCCCTAAATTCCCCAAAATTAAGTGTTTTGAACGGACCCAAATATTGAAAATTCATAATAAATTATTTTGAAGATATGCACTTAAAATTTATAGCTCAGAGACCCAAAATATGGAAGAAGATTATAAATTCATTGTTTATAGGGCAGTGGTTCCCAACCTTTTTCGAGTGGCGACCCCTTTTTATAAAAAGTAAGTGACCCTCGACCCCCGTAGAATTAAAAAGCCGAAATTAGTATGGAAATTAATTAGCACTAAAGTAAGATTTTCGAGTAGACTTTCAATATTAACTACTCTTGATAACTATTTCAATAGCATGAGTAAAATTGCATACTATTCACTAAACCTTCGTGGTTAAGTTTTTAATTTAAAAATTGTTTGTGTTAACGCCAACCTATGTCATTATAATTATCTTATTTTTTGTTTTTAATCGAAGAATAGTGTTGAAAATATATTCTCCAAAAGTCAATCAATTTTAGGTTTGGGTATGAATGGTGAATACTACACCAAAATTGTGTCTGCAATTTTTCATTTTACTCGGAATCATTCTGCAAATCAAAGAATTCATCTTGTAATTCATCGGGGATGCTGGCAACATCACGGGAAGAAGAGAATGGGTAATGCGTAAATGCAGATTCTTCTGTTTTCAGCTCAGAGAAATAGCGATGCAGTTCGTTTTCAAGAGATTCAAGATGCCCAGAAATCGCTTCTTTCAAAATGTTAATTATCTCACAATCAGATTCATCTACCACACCGCAGAGTTTCTCAAATTTACAATATTTCCAAGATTTATTTTCTTTACCGATTTTGCAGCTTTGATAAAAATGGCCCGAGATTATCATGAAAAGTTATAATATTCGTTGTTTTGTCCTGAAGCTTCAGGTTAAGCTTATCTTGATGCTCGAACACATCTGCTAGGTATGATACTCTCTCCAACTACTCTCTGTATGCAGTGGCGGAACTAAAAAAAAAAGGGCCATCCCGCAAAAAAAATTTTTTAGGCCCCCCCCCATATATATATATATATATATATATATATATATATATATATATATATATATATATATATATATATATAGGCGTATACATGATATGATATATATACAATCATAAAATACGAACATAAGATACTCATTATACTGGCCTGTTCGGGATTTGAGATACATCAATTTAAAAAAATTTCAACTTCATGTCAATGTCATGTGTGTTAGTGCATTAGTGTGTTTTGTGAAAATCAGTTTTAATTAATTATTAATAGAAGCCATCTTAACATCCAGTAGGTCAAAAATAATATAAAACATTAAAGCTTTGTATAAGTAATGGTGTCTCGTGTTATGTTTATTTTTATGTTTTTTTTTTTTGTATTTATATTATTAATTTTTTAAATATTATTGATTTAATACATTTCCTTTTTATACAATGTCATTCTTTAGTAATTACTTATAAAAAAATAATAATTAAGAGAATTAAATGGTTTTTAATTTGTTTAGTATAAATCTATTAAAAGGAGCTTATAAGCACCCCTATTTGACTATTTTTAAAAAAGGGAAATAAATCATGGAAGTGGTTTGAACATTTGCTTATCTTTGATAAGTTTAATTGTAGGAGAAAGACTCGGCTTTCACAGTGGTTTAAAAACAAAGGGAAAAAGAATATACAAGAGCGTGGGGTGGTGTCTATAGAATAAAGATAATCCAACCGCAGCTACGGTAAGTTTTTTACAAAACAACCATAAGTCAAAAAAAAAGAAACATTTTTTTTAACTATAATTTTTTTTATTATTGTCGGCTCTGGGCCCCTAAATGGCGTGCCCCCCCCCCCCGCATTGCGGGGTCTGGCGGCACTGTAGTTCCGCCCCTGACTCTATGTCGTTTTAAGTATACCAAAAAGTCTTGTTTCCTTTGCACTTCCAAGAACAATTTGATTTCAGATTTCAATTCAAAAACACAATTTACAAAATTTCGTTTGACAGCCAGTGTACTGTAGTGTAGAAGAGCAGAACTCCGTGATCAATATTAATGTTTTTGCTCAGTTCTTTGAAGGCTCCAGATTTTATATAATTTACGACTTGTACTAGCAATGGACTCTTGATGTCGATTGGTTAGGGCAGTGGTTAGGGAGCTAAATCTTTTCTGTTTTCTGAAAGCCCGATTTTGAGCTAAACATGATGGCGCACCATCCATACAAACCCCCACAGCCGTTTTAACCCATTTTAATCATCTAGTTTCAAAAAAGGTATTTATTTTCTCCATGCTATCTTCACAAAATATCAACTCTTCTTTGCTATCATCCGCATGAGTATAGACACAGACCAGCAACTGCGAACACGAACTCACGTCTGTTGATTTATTAACTTGAAAAGCAAACAATGATGAAAGCTTAATTTCGATACAAATGTGTTATTTAACATTTAGTTACATGCAGCGTTTGATGAGATTTTCTCCTATTGTTTTTTTTTAGCTTGGCATTTTCTATCGCGACTTCATTTGATGCTTGCACTAACGCTGGTGAAAACTTCCTGTTCGATCAAGTCTTTGGCGTTTGCAACTAGCTTCTCACCGACGAAAGAACTCCATATATTTTTGGTGTGTTCCGAATGACTCGTCTCAAATGGCGTTTTAGTTTTGAAGATTTCATAAATTCGTGACTGAGAACAACTTTGTACAGTGCGCTTTGTTTCTTCTCTATTACATTTCCAGTGAATTTAAAAAATTCTTCTAAATATTTATGTTTTATTTCAAATTACTAAGGTTTAGTATACCAGTTGGCGACTCCCTAGAAAGACCTTCGCGACCCCCAGGTTGGGAACCCGTGTTATAGGGCATAAAATATAATATTTTATGGATGGTGGATTTTTCAAGATGGCCGACGTTGTCATGGTTACCAAGATTTTTCCACGAATTTGTTTTAGTGGAAATGCATATGAGGATCTATCTTAATAAAGCTGTAAAGAAATAACTGTTTTCTAACGTGTATTAAGTATAGGCCTGTATATTTTTTAATGTTGTACTTGTTTGAGAAAAATAATTTATGAAATAGTTATTGGTCAAAATGCAATGTGCTTTACTACACGCTGAACGATATTAGTGACAAAGCAAAGAAATAACTAATTAGCTAAAAATCCGACACATTTAACATAACAAAGGCACACACTGATTAAGTGACTTAAATGATTCCGTTAAAAATCTGGCCACTCAATGGTCATTATTTTGTTTTTAAGAAATTTGTATTAGTTTGACCGATAAAATTGTGTAAATTTAATAGCGTACGTCTTGATGAGTAGACCTATATCAAATTTGAATGAAGTAGTTCCTTTCTTTATAGTCTAAAATCAAAAGATTCACACAAAAAAATATAAATTTATAAAACATGGAGAATGAAAGAGGTATTTTAAAAACTTAACTTACGCGAATATGCTTATTCTTTCAAATTATTTTTTTCCCAAATTAGCCAGTTCCATAGCTAAGCAAACAATGATTTATATACAATAATTAAGGCCTTAAATAGTTTAATATAGAAATGTATTTTTGGAATAGATTCTAGAGTAGATAGCGTCTAAATCTAGATCTTAGAGACTTAGCGTCTACGTCTAGTTTTTGCGTAGATTTAGATCTAGTCTAGATCTAGAATCTCTAGATCTAGAATCCAAATAGATAAAATAAATTTTAAAAGTAAAGGCCAGAAAAATTGTATTGTATATATTTCATAGCGTACGTAGCCCTAAATCAAATTCGAATGAAATACTACATTTCTTTTTATTCTAAACTCGGCAGATGACGTCATTAGTTAATGCATAAACATGAGTGATGTCATTGTTTGATGGGTTTTTTTACAACTATAAACACTTTTCCTGTTGCATAACTAAAACTGTTTTTCTACATTTTTTATTTTTCTTCTTTAAATAAAATGTTGGTTATACATTTAAAACATCTACCATATTATTTTCAATAAAAGTCCGTATCACGTTCTCCATATATCGCTGATTCTGATGTGATACCCTGCGAAAATATTTTGCGGACAGAAAGAGAGAGAGAGAGAGAGAGAGAGAGAGAGAGAGAGAGAGAGAGAGAGAAGTGCGCACATGGTCTTTTATATATTAGGATGACATTTTAGCGTCCTGTCATGGGTTAAAACATGAATTTATAACGAAATGTCTTCTTTAAAATTGGCTAACATTCAGTAAAAACATTCAACCACAAAAATGACACTGTGACTACGAGAAATGTATAATAATGAAATAACTACCTGTATAACAATCCACCCTCCGCCATCTGTTTTGGTATCACACAAAGCGAGTTTGCTTTCACTTAGCTTAACAGTCATCTGTCCTGGTAGACTTGAGACATCATTCCCGACACACTAATCATACAATACATAAATCATTGTATATTATTATTTAGCATTGTGTTATATAAATATCAAAAAATATAAACTGTTTGAGGTCGTAAAATTTAATAAATAAAATAAAAATATTTAACTTACACAACGCATCTCAAATAATGCGTTTAAAAAAGTATTTATGTTTTCCGATTTCTGTTAAGAACTACTAGCTATACACAGTTCACGGGAAATAACATCCATTAAAATAATAAAGTAAATTTGAAACATATTTTTAATATTTTCTAGTTAATGCACTAAATAAATACCTTATTCATATGTAAGGCCACGTAGATAGAATCTCGCAGCTTATTATTCTCTTCTGTGATAAATGTCTGGAGTTTGGATTTCATTTCTGTTAATTCTATATTTAAATTTTGTGTTTGGTTCTGACTATTGGCTTGCATTGATTGCATTAACACAGCCAGCGCATTATTAGTGTATTCTGATTTTGATTTGTTTTCCATCATCTCTAAAGCTTTGGTTAAGTTTAAAGTAATTTGATTCATTTTCTCATCCAACATGTCCTCAAGTGAAGAAGAATTGATCTGTTTGAAAAATGTATTTTAGGTTTTTAGCATATATCTATGAATAATTAATAAGCTATATAATAGTTGTATTTACTTGATAGAAACAAAAGACAAAGCAGAGGTAAATTGCAACTAGATAAATCATTAAAAAAGTATAGTACATTATTGTTCGCTGTTTTATAAATCATGAATATATTTACGTATCTGTTTTCTTAATTTTGAATTCATAGGGTTACCGTAGTACTCTTTTATAAATTCTAGTAGAGTTTTGTTTAGACTAGAAACCAAAAGTTAATGTTGTATGGATATTTTCTTGTGTGATAATTTTCTTTATATATTTATTTCCATCTCCTTTAATGTACTATTGAGTTGTTCTGTTTCGTTCTGTGTGCTGGCTAACATTGTTTGCATTGATTCGTTTACAACGGCCAAACTATTTTTATTTACATCTGTTTTTGAATTTAGTTTATTTTCCATCATCTGTAAAGTTTTGTTTACATCAAGAGTTACATTCATTATCTTTTCATCCAACATTTTATCATCAAGTGAAGAGGAACTGACCTGTTTATAACTGTTATTTAACTCTGTATCTGTTAGACCAAAGCTTTTGTCTGTGATGAACTTTTCGCCACCAGAATTTGGCATCTGTAATGACATTGTCATATCTCCCTTTTTCAGATTCATCATTATTAAAGATTCACGTGATTTTCTTTGTAAACTTTCCGTCTGTTTCCCAATTCTATCAATAGACCCAGTTGTATTTACATAATGTATTTCACACAGAAAAATGCCACCATTGCAGTCAGAATGTTTGGAGAGAAAAATGTCCAATTCAGAAAATGTTTTCGATATTTTCCCATCTACTTTTGTTCCAGCCCTTTTATAATCTTGAAGCTTTGAATCTAATTCTGAAATAGACGCCACCAAAATCTTCCCCTCTGGTTCACTGATCCTATAGACTGACATGTTGACAAGAGCTGATATCTGAGTGTCTTCTCTTATGTTTTCTGTACACTGGAGTTGTGCACAAAATAAATCCTCGCCGTGGTAAAAATATTCTACGCTGATATCGACATTTATACCTATAATTAAAAGACATTTTAAAAAAATAAATGAAAAACTATATTAGTTAAATATATAATTTCTTAATGCTATATATATATATACTAGGCATACAGCCTAGCTTCGCTTAGGTTTTCAAAAAATTTGAGTAATTGAATGATTAATTAATAGGTGATTGGCTGTTATGTTAAATGCTTAGGGCCTAAATTGATACATTGGGGTACTGTTATTGTAATCATAAATTAATGGAATATTCGCAAACTTATTACTCGCAAGGTTCTTAGAACTGAAAGGGCTTTCAAAAAAATTATTAATCAAATATAATTTAAAATTACTTTTGCAATTAATTTTACAATTCCAATACAATACAACACTTAATTTATAACAAAATATCCATTTAAAACAATGCTATACATTATGATTTTTGTTTTTTCTTAAAAAGAGTATACAAAATATTATAAATTGTTACATTAAAAAGTTACCTCCCATGTTCATAGACCAAATGCCCAAATCTCGTATAATTAGAATTTCACTCGCAGTCATTTTAAGCCCTCTTCGAGGGCTTTGAGTCAAACCGACAGTTTTCCCTAAAGGTCAAACCATTTACCTAAAAGTATGCAAAAAATTAGCCAGATATACTGAGTTTAAGTACCCTAAAGTCTGCGTTGAAATGACCCTCTGTTTTTCCCATAAAATACAAAGATTATATAGGGAAATACAACTGGTCAGTTTTGACCCCTTTACGAAGTTTTCCCAGATATGCCGAGTTTTTTGTGACACCCCAAAGCGTTCTCCTACCACCTCACAAAATTTCAAGGGGGGTCGTCGGAGGAAATTTGTTTTCGTAATAGAGCTCAAATCAAGAGAATTTCACTAGCGGTCACGTTTTAGCCCTCGTCGAGGGCTTTGAGTCAAACCGACAGTTTTCCCTAAAGTTCAAGCCATTTACCTAAGAGTATGCAAATAATTAGCCAGATATACTAAGTTTAAGTACCCTAAAGTCTGCGTTAAAATGACCCTCTGTTTTTCCCATAAAATACAAAGATTATATAGGGAAATACAACTGGTCAGTTTTGACCCCTTTACGAAGTTTTCCCAGATATGCCGAGTTTTTTGTGACACCCCAAAGCGTTCTCCTACCACCTCACAAAATTTCAAGGGGGGTCGTCGGAGGAAATTTGTTTTCGTAATAGAGCTCAAATCAAGAGAATTTCACTAGCGGTCACGTTTTAGCCCTCGTCGAGGGCTTTGAGTCAAACCGACAGTTTTCCCTAAAGTTCAAGCCATTTACCTAAGAGTATGCAAATAATTAGCCAGATATACTAAGTTTAAGTACCCTAAAGTCTGCGTTAAAATGACCCTCTGTTTTTCCCATAAAATACAAAGATTATATAGGGAAATACAACTGGTCAGTTTTGACCCCTTTACGAAGTTTTCCCAGATATGCCGAGTTTTTTGTGACACCCCAAAGCGTTCTCCTACCACCTCACAAAATTTCAAGGGGGGTCGTCGGAGGAAATTTGTTTTCGTAATAGAGCTCAAATCAAGAGAATTTCACTAGCGGTCACGTTTTAGCCCTCGTCGAGGGCTTTGAGTCAAACCGACAGTTTTCCCTAAAGTTCAAGCCATTTACCTAAGAGTATGCAAATAATTAGCCAGATATACTAAGTTTAAGTACCCTAAAGTCTGCGTTAAAATGACCCTCTGTTTTTCCCATAAAATACAAAGATTATATAGGGAAATACAACTGGTCAGTTTTGACCCCTTTACGAAGTTTTCCCAGATATGCCGAGTTTTTTGTGACACCCCAAGGCGTTCTCCTACCACCTCACAAAATTTCAAGGGGGGTCGTCGGAGGAAATTTTTTTTCGTAATAGAGCTCATATAAAGAGAATTTCACTCGCGGTCACTTTTTAGCCCTCGTCGAGGGCTATGAGTGAAACCGACAGTTTTCCCTAAAGGTCAAGCCATTGTCCTAAGAGTATGCAAAAAATTAGCCAGATATACGGAGTTTAAATACCCTAAAGTCTGCGTTGAAATGACCCTCTGTTTTTCCCATAAAATACAAAGATTATATAGGGAAATACAACTGGTCAGTTTTGACCCCTTTACGAAGTTTTCCCAGATATGCTGAGTTTTTTGTGACACCCCAAGGCGTTCTCCTACCACCTCACAAAATTTCAAGGGGGGTCGTCGGAGGAAATTTTTTTTTGTAATAGATCTCATATAAAAAGAATTTCACTCGCGGTCACTTTTTAGCCCTCGTCGAGGGCTTTGAGTCATACCGACAGCTTTCCCTATAGGTCAAGCCATTTACCTAAGAGTATGCAAATAATTAGCCAGATATACTGAGTTTAAGTACCCTAAAGTCTGCGTTGAAATGACCCTCTGTTTTTCCCATAAAATACAAAGATTATATTGGGAAATACAACTGGTCAGTTTTGACCCCTTTACGAAGTTTTCCCAGATATGCCGAGTTTTTTGTGACACCCCAAGGCGTTCTCCTACCACCTTATAAAATATCAAGGGGTTCGTCGGAGGAAATTTTTTTTCGTAATAGAGCTCATATAAAGAGAATTTCACTCGCGGTCACTTTTTAGCCCTCGTTGAAGGCTTTGATTCAAACCGACAGTTTTCCCTAAAGATCAAGCCATTTACCTAAGAGTATACAAAAAATTAGCCAGATATACTGAGTTTAAGTACCCTAAAGTCTGCGTTGAAATGACCCTCTGTTTTTCCCATAAAATACAAAGATTATATAGGGAAATACAACTGGTCAGTTTTGACCCCTTTACAAAGTTTTCCCAGATATGCCGAGTTTTTTGTGACACCCCAAGGCGTTCTCCTACCACCTTATAAAATATCAAGTGGTTCGTCGGAGGAAATTTTTTTTCGTAATAGAGCTCATATAAAGAGAATTTCACTCGCGGTCACTTTTTAGCCCTCGTTGAAGGCTTTGATTCAAACCGACAGTTTTCCCTAAAGATCAAGCCATTTACCTAGGAGTATACAAAAAATTAGCCAGATGTACTGAGTTTAAGTACCCTAAAGTCTGCGTTGAAATGACCCTCTGTTTTTCCCATAAAATACATAGATTATATAGGGAAATACAACTGGTCAGTTTTGACCCCTTTACGAAGTTTTCCCAGATATGCCGAGTTTTTTGTGACACCCCAAGGCTTTCTCCTACCACCTCACAAAACTTCAAGGGGGGTCGTAGGAGGGAATTTTTTTTCGTAATATAGCCCATATAAGGCGCCGGTCAGTCGAGGTCAGTTTTGACCCCCTGTCCGTAGACTTTTCGGCAAACCGTCACCGGCCCTCGTGTTCTATCGCCCCCAGGCACCATCGTGCCAAATTTGACGCACCTGCGGCGCCGAGAAGTGCCCTGTCGGGCACCCGACCATTTTGCTTTATATATATATATATATATATATATATATATATATATATATATATATATATATATATATATATATATATATATATATATTTTTATATATATATATATATATATATATATATATATATATATATATATATAAATATAAATATAAATATAAATATAAATATATATATATATATATATATATATATATATATATATATATATATATATATATATATATATATATATATATATATATGTGTGTGTGTGTGTGTTTCGTGTTTTTATAACAGTATCGCCTTCAAAAGGATGAGCGGTTTCGGCTTGATCGAGTCGGTTAAGCTCATGTTGCTAAACCGAAAAGTCTCGAGTTCGAACCCTCGGGCAGATGAGGCTCGAAAGCTGGGGATAGCCACTCTTCTATAAGAGACAACTCCAAAATAAAAAACTGCTTCCTTGTAGTTTGTTCTTGGTTGAACAAAGGCTATGGAAGCAAATCCAAAAAGAAAAGCTGGCTGAAATCGGAGTCAAACGGCCTATATGACGCATACCAAGTTAACACGTAGTACTTAATTGTATTGGAGGAAATCCTTTCCAACATTAAAATTTAAGATCGAAGAAGAAAGAAGAAAGAAGGAAGAAATGATGTTTGAACTTCGCTGGTGTCATTTTTTTAAAGACATGGAACCTAGCAGGTAGAAAGGTTTGACAGGTAGATTTTTAAAAAAAAACATTTTAATAATACTAAGGAAGGTCTTCGTTTTTGCTTCAGAGATCTATTTTAAAAAGTAGAAGCGAAACAAAAAAAAACATTTTCAAATAAAGGTGATATTATTAATAGCTAGTGTAATACAAGTATTTAACAAAAACAACAGCAATTTATAAGTAATAAAGTAGTTAACGGGATGGGTCATAGGTGCTTTGACCACAGGTGCTTTGACCATAGGGGTTTGACCATAGGGGCTTTGTCCACAGCGGGGCTTTGACCACAGATGGGCTTTGACCATAGGGGTTTTGACTATAGGTGGTTTGACTACAATGAGGCTTTGACCATAGAGTGTTTGACCACAACGGGGCTTTAACCACGGGGTGGGGGGTTAACCATAATATATAGATTTTAAAATCCATTAATAGAAATTAACATGTACTAAAAAAGTAAAGAACGAAATTTTAGTCTCCACACAAAGGCTGGTACTAGGCCTCATAGACTTATTTTATATATAAATGGAACACAAATAATGCGACATATATCAAGTTTCACAAATAAATAATGTAGATGTACTTGAAAATATATAAATATAAAGGATAATGAAGGATAAAAAAACATGCCAACAGTATAGTCAAAGAAGACATACTTATATAGTTTAGATGACTTGTATTTATACATGATGAATTAACATTTTATTACATCCTGTCGCAATTTAAAATATAATTACACAACTTTTGAAGTTAATCCTTACAATTAATGGACAAAGCACTTGTTATCAAACGCCAGTATTGGACAAACTACCTGTAATCAACAACCCTACATGGACAAACCATCTGTGGTTAAAGGCGGACACAGCTCTTGTGATCATACACCCGTTGATTAAAGACCCTCTGCTGAGAAAACACCTGTGGTCAAAACCCCTATGATCAAAGCCCCGCTATGGTCAAAGCTTTCTGTGGTCAAAACCCCTATGTTCAAAGCCCCTCTATGGTCAAACCACCTATGGTCAAACACTCTATGGTCAAAGCACCTGTGGTCAAAGGTCCGCGCACCACCGGATGGTGTAGAGTTTACCAGTTTCTGTGACAGCGACATATGTGTTTAGCACTATGCCCGGCCGCTTTTTTTTATAGACTCGAAACAAAACTCAAAGAGCGAGACTAAGCGGATACAATCTACCACCCAGCCTCACAATACAAATATTGTTGATATAATGTTTTTAATGTGAAGCGTAAAACAAGTATCTAAAAATGTCTAAAACATGTGAAGACCGAAACAGTTTATACTTTGTGTAAAATAAAACTTACATGTTTATACTTTGTGTAGAATAAAACTCACCAGCGACGACAAAAACAGTAATAGCAAGCAGGCAAAGTTTCATGATGCAGGCCATTGTGACTGCCGGAATCTTGTCCGCGTACTCTGCAAACAGATGGCTGGAGAGCCCGTCAATGCTGTTTATAACGTCTTGACAAATTGTTTATATCACGTGTTTTAATTTAATCCCATAGGCGGATCCCATCTTACAGTTTTAGGGTCCGTAATATTTGTATGTATGTGTGTTTGGATCAGGCGTCTAAACATACACCATTTGTAACGCTAAATAAGAGCGTCAGCAATTATTAATGTTTCAATAATGTGTGTTTGTCACAATAAATAAAAGTATTAGACCCGATTGGTATCAGTTATTGAAAAAAAATTTAAAGCTCTTAGTTCATTATTTATTATTAAAGATAGACCGAAGCTGTGACTGTGATATATTTTGAGAACTGCGAGCAACAACCGTCGTGAATGCAATCAAAACGTCAACACATAATGATTCTTGCTTTGCGTCTAAAACTTTATTGGGTTTCCTGTTCATAAAAGTGTCAGTGCAGAAGAATTATAGCTGTGTGGTTATGTGAACATAATATGTTTAGTAGTTTTCTGATAATTGAACGTGGTTAAAAAATAAATAGTGCGCTTATTTTAATTATTTCATTTCATTAATTATATAATGACGTATGGAAAACTGTCGATTAATCTTGATTATTTTTCAATAAACAATTAAATTCTTTTGTACACTATTTACTAGTTCTAATAATGCATCCATCCTTTCAGATATTTGTTCCCATTCGTGCATAAATTCACTCGAGCACTATGTTTCTTTCAAGCATGTCTTCGAATGAAATAGAATTAATATAGAAAATATACAATTACACACACACACACACACACACATATATATATATATATATATATATATATATATATATATATATATATATATATATATATATATATATATATATATATATATATATATATATATATATATAGGAAAATAGGGTCTGCTCCCATCCCTAAGTGTTAATTGCCCCCGGAGAAAAAAGTCTCAAAGAAACACTGTACGAGCATTTGTCTTATTCCGGCAAATGTCCATTTCGGCATTTGTCTCATTCGTCCATAAGGCTATTCGGGCATTTATCCAATTCAGACAAACATCCACACTTGCATTTGTTACATTTGTCGTACACCCTTAATAAATTCTCTCTCTGAATACGGTCATTGCCGGATAAAGCAATGCTCTAACCAGGTAGACCTAAACAGGATAAAAAAAACAGATTTTCTCTCAATAATTATTACCAGATTCATCTAATCTCCTGGGTGTTTGAGGCCCATGATTTGAACTCATAACTTGCGAGTTAGCAAGCGTTCTATTGTTAAAATACTTTGTTCCCTGTTTTTTATACTAAAATGGGTGTACAATACTGATATTTCTTCAATCTGAACTCATGACTTGCGAGTTAGCAAGAGTTCTATTGCTAAAATACTTTGTCCCCTGTTTTTTAAAATACTAAATGGGTGTCCAATATTGATATTTCTACAAAGGCCTGAATTGTACAAGGATATGACAGAACTAAGTTTAGCATGAAAATTATGATATCTTAGCACATTTATTTAGCTAATCATTAAGTCTGGTGTGTGAATTTAATTAAAGTAATTAAAGCGTTGTTTGCTGATATATGGCAGACCATTTTATGAGTTTACCTTTAAAGGTAAAACATTAAAATTAATTCAGATCCCATTATGTTCTAGTGTGAAGTTTTTTTTAGATGTAAACCATTAATAAATTTGTTAAATACGTAAGCATGACATAAATAAATTAAATTTCTAATAAGCTGTAAATTTCTACCTAAAATCAATCATAACTTATTAGGCAAGTACAAAATTGATTTTTAATAAAACATGAAAAAAAATCCCAATAAAATTAATGATTTTGTTCTATCAATTAACTGTTTATATAAATAATATTAGTAAGACTTGTATATAAAATAAATGTTTTAAAGAAGTAACACCCATATAAGCAAATTATCGGATGTACGTCTCTCAATCAGATTAATCTTTAAAACTAAATTGGTTATTGATTACACAAAGTAATTAGTCACATACATGCCTGTAATGAGTTGATGTCTTTGTGTAAACCTTTGCTTATTATGAAATTAATCAAGAAATCAAATATTAAACGGAACTAGTATTTCTTGCAGGCATCTCTTCGGGGGCTACGCCCACCTTCGCCCCGAAGAGAGTCTACCGTCCTCCCTAAAGGAGATGTAATTGATAGAGAAAATATCATAAAGAAACACTATGTATAATCGAACTTGATTGATAGGCTATACACACGAGGCATGAGCAGCTATGGTTGGAAGACAAGTCCTGCACCATATGGCTTGTAAGTAGGTCACCAGCTTCTTGTTCTGGTACATGCTAGCTTGAAGCTATCAAACTAAATGTGAATATGTTTAATTGTTAAAAAATAAATAAATGGAAAAGTTACTTCCGCTATTGTTATGATATTAAAAATTCAAAACAATGCTAATGATAGACTACAAGAGGTAGGCTAGTTTAAATAAAAATATATCCTACGTTAAACTGATTTTTTTAAACATGCGTAGTGTGTGTTATTATTAATTCGAATGCCTAACAAGTTGTCCTAAACGTAGTTACAATATTAATATAATATTACTAAAAGCTTAGGCCTACCGGTACTTAATTTGATTCTATTGTCATAAATATAAAATGTACAACTGTTCTATTTTTTATGTACTCTTGGTATTTTAAAATTTTGAAGCGAGACCTAGAGACGGCTAGCCGCCATTTTTTAAAAACCATTAATTTAATTCGAAAATGTATGTATATATGTATATATATATATATATATATATATATATATATATATATATATATATATATATATATATATATATATATATATATATATATATATATATATCTGGCTAACGACATTTCGAATAATTTTAATCGAGAGAGACTGAGACTTACAAGCCCTATTACATTGCAACACTAAGAATTTTCAGAAAGCAGATATGATACGTAACTTATCTATATATGCACGTGTGATGGATTTAAGAAAGAAAAGTTTTTTATAGTGTAAACACCACAGTAATATGGAAAAGTATAAAGCTCTATGGAGTTCCAGAAAAAAAATACATTTACCTAAAATGCTAGGTGATATACAATAGTATCTACTGTCTTGTCCACCCCTCTCCCACCGTGGACGTCATAAATAGATGACCCCATTATGCGATAAGTTTTAATGAACACACGGAAATAAACTACTAGTTATATTTTGCACAATAATCTAAGCTTGGATATATCTTTTTTATTATCCAAAAGCTTTTTGGGGCTCCAATGTTTACTTAGGGGCCAAACGTAAAACCTTTCCATGAGTATTCTTAACAACTTTCTATAGGATTAATGTTTTATTGCGATTGGATGAAAGGTGTAGTAGTTCATGAAGCAGTATATTTATGTCTTTACTTAAAGGGGGTAAGTTTAGCTGAGTTTTAAGCACATATATTAAAACTAACATTCACAAATCAGTATACAGAATAAAAACCCAAACATATATTTTTTTATTCAATAAAGCATGTATATAAGTCTGCTAAATTTAGACATAATGTACAAACAGTAATTCCAACTCAGTTTGAAGTATTTTTACACTATTTTTTTATAAATATTAGTTTATAATAAAAATGTTATTTACACTTTATACCCCTAATATTTTTTTGTTGGTTTTATTTGTGGTTGTCTAATGCAAATACGGCGACATTGTATTCTGCTTAAAATATAACTTAAATACAACTATCATAGAGAGATAGTTAAATTGTTCATCTTCACGACTGCCGTAGTTTCATCTCAACCTGATCTAGAGAATCACCCTGGGTTGTTAAGCTAGTCCATATGATTCCGTCGGCGTATACTTTACTTGCCCATACTCCATTTAATTTAACCTCATGACAGCCTTTAACGTACCACCAGCCACCTTTATGAATCTCAGCACAGTTACGGGAATCCGACTCATTGTCACGATCATAGGTTGAAAAAGCAGCACCCTGTTGAAAGTTAAAGTCGTCTGTAACGTTGCCTGTCTTGTATGTAAACTTTATCCTATACAAATCTGCTTCATTTCCGACCATAACATTACTGTACACGGCGTAGTAGGATTTACCTTTATATTTCATGTCAAACCTCAGTTCTCTGTAGCCCTGTTAACAGATACAAACATATTTTTTAACATCTAGTTACCGTATGAACTATTTCGAAACAGAATCCTCATTAAATTGAAGGGGTTATACTATTTTACACACACAGACATTCACACACACATACACACATACACAAGAACACGCACACACACGCACAAGCACGCACAAGCTCGCACGCACGCACACACACATATATGTAGGCCTCTCTCTCTCTCTCTCTCTCTCTCTCTCTCTCTCTCTCTCTCTCTATATATATATATATATATATATATATATATATATATATATATATATATATATATATATATATATGCAATATGCATCGAAAATTATCAAAATATGTGTTATTTTATAGTAATCTAATTATTTCAAACTGAAATGTACCTACCTTTCTGGTGAGGTTTGAGATCCAATCATTTCCAAGCCAATAATCTCCAGCCAAAGATCCAAAACCATTCTTGTAGTCGCTCCAGTGTCTGATAAAATTTACGTCACCTTTAACACGTCTCTGAAACAGCACAGTGTGACTAGACTTAAAAGGGTCATATAACAAATAAAATAGTCACCAATTTTATCCGGCCGTTTAAAAAACTTAATTAACATAAATAACGAAGTTACCCTTTCGGAATTCATCTGTCTCTATTACATTGGCAGTGATAGTTTTGCCAGTCTAGTCTAGTGCCGAGTCGTGTTTATTTTCTATAATGTAAGTCAGGTACCCATTAGATCTGAATGACTCAGGCACGACTTCGTTTGCTCTACAGTGCAATCCCATCAAATGCAGTAGCTCATGGGCAAGGTGCCAGTGGGGAGTGGGCGAGTGGACAAAGTAGAAGATGGTGTGGTCAGACAAGGAATGGTCTTTCGCACCCTCGCTAA